AAGTTTAGATTTTTATGAAATGAAATATTTATTTTTAAGTTTTTTTCTCTCTACAATGATAAGCTCTCTTCTACTGTGAAAGAATATTGTTTATGGGTTTAAATAGTAATGGTTAATTTTTACAGCCTTGATAACTTTTTTAAATAATTTTATCATGTCTACATTTTTAAATATTTTTTATTTTTTAAATATCTATTTATTAGATAAATTTTTATGACCATTATAGTTTCCCAATCCTCCATGAATTTATTTTTAAAATAAATTTAAGAATTGACTTTAAATCTTTACACCTTGATAGTTATTTTTATTAATTTAAATATTTTTATTATCATAATTTTTTATTAATTTTTTAGTTAGTAAAATTAAGGTGTTACACTTAAAATTTTAAAATTGTTAAGGTCGTTTGTTATTAACTATAATTAATGGGTCTTTCTTAAACTTTCCCTTGCATACACACCCACCAAACACAACTTGTGGAAATTGGGAAGCAATCGGTTGAAGTTAACCTAAAAAAATGTCAGTCAATCCACGTCAAGGACGAACCGACGCCGATTAAAATGGTGGCAGCTGCCCTCTGACCCCACAACTTTTTTTTTTTAATTTTGCCCCATAAAAAAGGAAAAAATTACAGTCAGATCTAATCACAGATAAAAATTAACACAAAATAAATTATTATTAAAATAGACTCATAATTTTTTTAAAAATGAGATTTGTTATGGATCTTTATCTGTAATAAATTATTTTAAAAGGAGCTAAATGTGATTCTCTAAAACTTTTGTTTTTTAATTAATCGGCCCCACTGAGTGATTGATAACCGTACTTTTTTGCGTCGTTTATTTTTGTACATTTATAATTTTCATGGTCTGATAAAAAATATGACGCATTTTATGTTTGCTATTATGATTACTCTTTTTTTTTCTTCTATTTGGACCGTCTCTTCTCCTCTCATTTTAGTTTCTCATGATACACTTTTTGTATTAGAAGAGTATATTTTTATATATGCTAGTTAAATTTGTGGGTCTGTCACTCATCTGGGAAACCCAAAGTTAAAAGACTCCAACAAATTAAATTGGACCAAATTACAGTCAATTTAGTTTTCAATGTTAAATCGAGAAGCTATGGTGATATATGGCGGAAGACGGGAAAAGTAGGAATTACGTACAAGGAATACTGGGCCGAATTTCACATTAAAATTGAAAACGAGATGCCTCAAAATTGTGGGACTCTTTTTTTTATTGAGTGTAGATATTTTTTTATTAGAGGCAATTATATTTAAGGAATGATTGAAAATTAAATATAAATACCTCTTTTAGTAAAGATTTAAATATTGATTTATTACATTGTGAAAAATTAATTTCTTCTACTAAACTCAACTTTATAAATAAAATTGTAGGAAATTGATACCAAAATTACAAAAGACTGAAAGAGAGAGGACCGATATGACTTCAACGTACTAGAATTGATTAGGCCCAAAAACTGGCCCAATAATGACTAAAAAATCTTATTGGGGCGGAACAGACTTAGAATAACTGCTTTAGGACATCCCGCAAGTAATAAAAATGGCTCAAACCCATAAAGTATATGGGCTTTTGAACCCGTTTTGGAGTCCCAAAACTTTTGTTTTGAAAAATCTGGAAACTGAAAAAATAATGAGCCCATTCATAGGCAGACTACGGAAAGAAATAAAGGCCCGAAAAGAAAAGAAAAGAAAGGGAATAAAAGTGGGGCTGACTGAAAAGGAATAAAAGTTGGCCCGCAGAAGTCAGAAAAACCCATATGCCCCAACTTAAAGTCGTAAGCACCAGAAATAATGAAGCCCAACCTACCAAGGATCAACTTGGCTCTCTCTCTCTCTCTCTGTTTTGTTTGTTTTTTTGTTGGCCACTTGGCGCTTGATGGCCAAAAAGTCAAAGAACTTGGCGCCTTTACAACATGCCTCACTACTCACAAGCATTAGCATCCGGGATGTGCATCAGTGCATGTGTTGTCATTTTTCTATTATTTTCTGATTCTTTCCGGTGAAAGTGGGGTCTCTTCACTTTTTTTTTTTCTATTTTTCTCTACTTCCTTCATCCCCATCATTCATTAATTTTTTTATTTAAAAAAATTGTTTAATAAAAAAATTTGAATGATAGAGGTGGGAGAAGTGGAGGGAAAGAGAGGACAACAAAAAAAAGAGATCCCTGATTCCTTTCTGGCTACCAGCATTCGGCCACGTGGCCGGGTGGCCCCCCCTTCTTCTTTTTTCTTGGTGGGGTTTAATTGACAGTTTGGCAAACAGCAATTAAAATGAAATGACTTCCTAATTTAATCCCTGTTTAAAAGTATTTTTAAAAATAAATTCTATAGAATTTTAAAAGCATGAAATGACTAAATGGGCATGGCAAATATGGTAATGATATGAGCCTTTTAAATATTATTTTAGGGTTTAATTTTTGAAGGTGTATATAAAAATTTTTTTGAAAAAGAATAACTCTTTAAATGAAATTTAAATTTTTTGAGTGATTAATCTCATGACTATTAATTGTAGGAATGCATTACGTAACTAAAAAATGATGATGATTTTCAAAAAAAAAAACTAATAATTCTCTATCTTTCTAAACGAGGTGACTGGTGCATAAGATCGTTAAACTATTCTAGTAGCCTAGGAGGTAACTAATGTATAGGACTAGAAGGAGTAATGAAATTATTGAGATACATAAATAATTCATTAAATTTCAGATCATGGATAAATAATTCAAAATTTCAAATTACATCTAAATAGTAAGTTTTTGTGCTTTATTATTTTTTTATTATATGAATGGCTTTTTTTTGCATTGTTTCGTTCTTTGTATAATTTTTTAATAATGCTTAAAACTATGTGGGAAATAAAATTTAAATATAAATAATTTACTTATAAATATTATTTTCACGGTAATGTTTTTATTTCAAACTGCATGCAATTTTTTACTATTGATTAATTATTAGTTTATAATGACTTATTTATATATGTCAAGGGATTTATTTAATTTGACATGTCATATTTTGGCCAACAAAAGAATAAATCGATGGCAGACACATCCTGGAGGCTATCGTCTATAGTGGGGTCACATGTATCACATCAGCAATTGTTACCAGCAAAGGTTGTATTTGGATTTTAATTAAATATAGTTGATTATAAAAAAATTGATTAATATAATTTATTCTGATTACAATTAATTATGTTATAATATGATTGTGTTTAGATGAAATTGATAAAATTAAATATGTTTGGATAACTCTAGTCAAAAACAATTTTAAATGTGTAAATTAGTAAATTGCCATAAAAGACATTATATTGTTTTTTGAAGTATAAATAATAATGAAATTGTATATAATATTATTAAATGTTTTTGTCATAGGAAAAGTGAAATTAATAATTTAATCAATGTAAAGACTAAATCAATATATCTAAGTTTAAATAAATTTATATTATGGAAATAATCTTTGTGTGAGTTTTGTGATCCGTATTACTCTACATATATGGACTCATGATGCTTAATTTATGTAAAGCATGCGTATACAAATTTTCTTCTGCCGCAGTCAATTAACAAACGTGTTATTCTAATTTATTTTAATTGAAGAGTAATCGGAGTTTCTTTTGAAATAAGAAATTAATTATAGAAACATAAAAACTATTCACAAGCCTAGCTAATTCATAAACTTATGGATCCAAAGATTGACAGTAAACAGGCGAGCTGAGGAAGAATATAAGATTGAACAAATTGAACAAAGAAATGAAAGACACAAGAACGCGCAGGGGTATATTTAGGCAGCTGATATTTTTGACGAATAATAAATGAAGGTTACAGTAAAATTGAAACTGATAAGTTACTTCATACAGCTTATAAAAACAGAGTTTTACTTCTAATAATTGATTCTAGAGAAATGGAGGGTGTTCAGGTTTTTTTAGCAAAACCATGGTTTTGTTCAAATAATGGATTCTATCTTGCTATCAAAGCCGGCGCTCAGCCTGCAAAATTACAAAGTTGATAAATGCAATAAAAGTAAAAATATGTTAAGTTGAGTTAGATTTTGATTAAATAGGCCCGAACTTATATGATAAGTTAGAGGTTTTAGCTTGACTTTAAGTCCATATAATGTTTTTTTCACTGTTTGAGCCTGATGTGGCCTGACAACCAATTTAAAAGTCGCATTTTAATTTTAAACATCTCAAGTATACTTTAAAACTATTAGTATATAATATATAATTTAATTTATCAATTACAATATATAATAATTAAAAAGACTTATCAACTATAATACAATAGTAAAGCAATAGCATTAAAATAAATACATAAGTCCAATTCAATTGAAAACATAATTAGAAATAAAAAAATATATTAATTAAAAATTAAATGGTGAAACTAATGTAATATATTACACAATATGTGTGTGTGTAAGAGAGAGAGAATAAGCTGGTCTGTTTGGCTCCTAAGTTAGGCTTTAAAAGGATAAATCTAATTTATTTAACAAAATATACTTGAATATGACCTAAATTTATTTGATAAATCAACTAGGTTAGGCTTGAAGTTGGTTAGGATGTAAGTCCTAAATCCAAATGCTATTGTTTTGGTGTACGGAGGATGGGGTCCTTGCTGAAGACGAAGAGCGGAGATCGACAATGGCGGTCACTGGTTAGCTTAAAACAAAGCTTTATGTGTGTTCTCTGTGATGCCTCACCGCCATCTTTTTTTTCCAACACGTTCTTGTTGGCACTGTTCAGTGACGACCTTTCGTTACTCTTGCTCAGGTGCCATTGACCTTTATCTCGAGACTTTGCCAAATTGCTTATTCTTCCTTATAAATGTAAGTTTTAATTCAAATCGCTCTGCTTGCTTGAGCCTATAATTTCCATGTGTGTCGTACACTTGTGCTTCATTCCCCTCTGCAGGCATGATCAGATTCACACACACACACAGAGTCGACATTCGAATTCAAAATCGAATTTATCATTTCATGCATAGAGATATCAACAGAGCTAAGAAAACCTCCTTAGATTAAAACTGAGTGAGCGAAACATACAAACTTGAATTGAATAATGGAAAATAAATCCAAGCTTTAGACGAGAGTATTAAATGTCCTCCCGAAAGGCAACTTCATCATTTCCCAACCAATTCTTATTTCCAGCACTCATATATCCCAATCCAAAATTTAAAATACCAAAAACTAAACACAAGAGCCAAGACAATGGCGAAAACGAGCACATTTGTTACTTTCATTTCTGATCAGTGGTGCCATTAACACGAGTTTCTGTTGACTTGGGAAGAAGCCCTTTCTCTCTGCAGGCATCAACAGCTCCGGTGAACATGTCCTCTAAGCTGTATTTAAATTGGAATCCCAAGTCTTTAATCTTCTTGGAAGAAAAGTGCACAATCTCCAAGTCATCTGGAATATTCTCAAACCTATATAAACAACATCACGAATCATGTATGTTTACAACAATTAGTCCTGCGCTATATATGAAGTAAACATAAAGGGAGAGAGGGGGAAGAGTGGATGTACTTGATGGGGACATTGCACTCCGGGTATTTTTGATCAAGCATTCTTGCAATGTCATGAATGGTGGCATCATGGGAAGAGCAGATGTATCTTCCTTCTGCTTCAGGATGCTCTAACAAGAATATGTGACCCATGCAGAGATCATCCAAGTGAACAAATTGGCCTTGCTTTATGATTGAATAATGCGCTTCATTCCCTGCAATTAGAATACTTTAAATCACAGTGCATATGATAAATTAAGTGAGAGCAAAGTTGAAGTTAACAGAGACAAAATAACAGCGTAACGCACCAGTGATGGGGGAAAGAGCAGTAATAAGACTGGGAGGCATTGAATCCATAAGAAAGGGACCAACCACAAGGGGAGGAATTACAGTGATGAAATCCATGTTATGCTGTTCGGCAAATTTCCATGCCTCTTGCTCTGCCAACGTCTTTGAAACAAAATACATCTGCAAAATATTTAGTTTTGGAGATGTACGAGATTACTGATATGTCTCTCAGATGCATGTGTCCGACAGGTAAGACAAGAACAAGTGCAAGGTGTAGAGAGAGAGAGTTGGGGGGGGGGGGGAGAAAGAACTAACCCAACCAGTCATCTTTACTCTGCGACAGTACTCGACATCACTCCAGCATGTCTCGTCGAACACAGGTTTTTGGTGCTCTATGACATTGACAGTCCCGGCAGAGGATGTGAATATCAATCTTCTCACAGTTTTGGACTTCAGGCATGCTTTCATGATATCCAGTAAACCATTGATAGTTGGTTTTATCACTTCGTTCTACAATGTTCCCAATCAAATTCAAGTTGTTTTACCATGTAATATGAAGATGTTTGACCAGCAGGTCAGTTAAGTACGGCCAACTCTTGAATGCTATTATTACTATAGTAGGACCCACGTGAATTTTTGCGGGGGGGCTTTTATTTACATACCGCCATCGTGGAGAAATGGTGGATTAGCACCGAACTTCAAGTTCAAGCTATTTTTTCTCTATTATTATTATTATTATTTTTTTGGGAAGTGGATTGGCTGAGCCACGTCCCTGCCCCTGCTCGGACTAATTACAAAAAACATAACACAGTACATCGCAAAATTCTACTCATAATATATAATTCTTATTCTTTGTTTAATTTATCTCGAGTTTTGTCTTATTTTTTTTCCTTCGTTTTTTTTTTTAAAAAAACTTTTTTCGGCAACGTCGAAGTGTTTGAAGGTTTGGAATAATATTGTACATTCAACACTATGTCTTCTCTTTAATTTGTCCATATCCAAACTTTTCTTTATATCTTCTATTCCACTCTTGTTGGGAGTAAATTTAAATTTCTAAAGATCAACCTCAATTAAATGAGAACGTCATTCGACTATGTTTGCTTTTTTATATTGAAAAGGACAGAACTTCGTCATGAAATCAAACGAGCACTTTATAAATTGAGAAATTCTCAAGCTATCTCACATTTTGAACGTGCTATTTCAATCGCATTTAAAGAAATGATATGATATGATACGTTACGATACTCATTTTTGCTGACTTTTAATTTCAAAACTGATATCAACTCTAATTATTAAGTTTAAATCTAGCCTTAATTAGCTAGTTAAACAAATTAAATTCCATACCAAGACGGATTTAGAGTTTTAATGTCAAAAAACAATATGAATTTAATCCAAAAAATTAATTATGTAACAAAATCAATAATCACATAGAAATGATAAATAAAGTCACACATTATCGATGGTATGTTACAGCAAACAGATAACTGGGTGGGCTTTTTTTTTTAGGCCCCTTTGTCCAATCAAAATATCAAAATACTAGTGTGTGTATCTATGAAATAAAATTTATAGAAAATGTGTCTCATAAATTATGAACAATACGATTTATTTTTGAAAGAATGATAATAAAACCTCTTTAAAATATATAAATGATAATTTAATCTCTCAAAATATTATAATTTTTTTAAAATCTTTATCGACTTTTCAATCATTAATAAATTTATTTAAATTATTAAATTATCTTTGTTAAAGATAAGTAATTTATAAATTTTGTTTAAATATTTACAATTTTTTTTCTTATACTCGTAATAATGCAACAGCAAATCACAACTTCACATGTTAAATTTTTTATTTACTGTTACATTGTTATGAAATAAAAAAAAAGTTGTGAATATTTAAATAAAACTTATGAATCATTTATTTTTAATAAGAGTAATCGAATAATTTATATAAATTTAGTAATGATAAAAAAAATTTTAAAAATTTTAGAATATAACATTTTAAAAAATTAAATTATCATTTATATATTTTAAAAAAATTTTATTATCATTTTTTCTTATTTTTCACACATCATGCAACACATGCGAAACAGGCCTATAGAGTATAGCATCGTGTCTTTGTGTAATACATACATACATACATATATATATAGAGAGAGAGAGAGAGAGGAGCATAAACATACCTCAGGATCCTTGGATTCGAAATCCATAGGGGTGGCGACATGGAAAACTGCAGCGCAGCCATTGATGGCGTCGTCGAAACTTCCCTCGAGGGCGAGATCGGCCTTCCACAGAGTCAGGTGCGTGTCGGCTTTTGGCAGCTGCAACAAATGCTTCACCTTCTTCATGTTAGCTGCGAATCAAATGAATCAATATATGAATGATCATTGAATGACAACGATGGTGAAAGTGGGGAGCTAGGAACGGAACCAGGGTCTCGCACGGTGGCTCGAACAGCGTAGCCGCGCTCGAGGAGTCGCATGACAAGCCATGAACCAATGAAGCCGGATGCCCCGGTGACACAAACGATCCCCGACACTGAACCCATGAGTGAGTTTGTGTCAGTGGGAATGGAGGAGAGGAATAATAAAGGGGAAAGAGATAAAAGGGGAGAGAATAATCAAATGGATTGAAGGACTGAGGACGATAACTGAAGAGTGGATGATGACAGTGACAGGGTTAAAGGAATCAAAATTGTTCAGAGTGCGGGGCCTCTGTCGTTGGGCAGTGCTATATGCTTGTATTTATATATATATATTCAGTGATAGTGTGACAGAAGGCAGGGACCTGGAGTGTTGTCTCGTGCTCACCCAACGGCCCGTAATCTGGTTAGGTGGCGTTTGACTGGCAGCTGCTTTCTCTCTTTTTTAGCTGCCTCCCTCATTCCTCTACTTTCCATTCCATTCTTCCTATTCCGCCTTTGGGACCTCTTCATTATTACCCACGCATTTTCTTCCATCTCTTTCATGAAACTTGAATGCTTACTCCTGTACTCCCTTCTCTCATGTTATAAAACTCTCAATTACTTTATGAAAATAATATAATGGGTTATAAAATTAAATTTGTAATAGGACTAAAATTTAAAAATTATAATAAATAATTTTCCATATGCATTGTATTTAAGATAGAAAAATTCTTCTAAAAATGTAGCTTCATGTGAATTTTATTTTATATATTCTTACAAAACAATTCATGATAGCTAGGTTTCATTTTTTTATTCTAATTTAAAGTATACTTTTAGTCTTTTAATTTTGTATAAGATTTTAATTTAGTCTTTTTAATTTTGTAACGTATTTTTTTTATTTATTTAACCCTAACATTATTAATTTTAAATGATTATTTTTTGTGTCAATCATTATTATTTAAAAAAATTAAACTTAATATATTAATATTTGAGAATGTTTGTTGATATTTGAAAGTCCAATATAAAAATTTATTGGGATAAAATTAAGAGTGTTGGGATTAAAAGATTAAAAAAACACTTCATAAAATTAAAAGATTGAAATAAAATATTATGTAAAATTAAAAGATTAAACGTATACTTTAATCTTCATTTAATGTGTGCTCTTAACTTTATACTTATAAAGATAGAAAACCTATTATCGCGAAACGGTGCGGGTAATTAATGTTTGGATTAAAAGAGTACTAATTAATAAGGAAACGCTATTGTTATTATCTATTTTTAATATTTAATTTCCTTGTTATTAATTAAATAAAATTTTGAGCATCCCAAATTGGTCCAACCGAACGACGTGGGTTGGTCATTCAAATTTAAAGCAGAGATATCAAGGGCATGTTTGGTTTCTGTTCTCATTTTCTATTTTTAAAAACTATTTTATACTATAATTTTTAAAATTATTTTAAAAATAAAAAATAAAAATCTGTTTGGTTTTGTCAATTAAAAATAATTTTATAATTAAAAAATAGACTAATAGTTATGATTATAGACAGTTAATGATGGTGATTAATAATAAAAATTGATCAAAATAATTATAATTTCAATAATTAAATTTAGTGTAATTTAAAAACAAGAAAAGTAAAACCAAAACAACTTATAATTATTTCTATTTTTTTAAAAAATAACTAAATGAAAAACATTTATTTAAATAAATATTTAATTTTTTATTTTAAAAACAAAAAAATAATTTTTAAAAATAAAAAACAAACAGGTCCCAAATTTCCAATCAGTTATTGGATGGCAGACGGAAAGACTTTACGGGTGTATTCAGTGCTTGGGGCGAAATTGAGCGTCGCTTCTGGAAAACATTAATTAAATTTTCGTTGATTTGGAGTTGGGGGCAGAGAAGGCGTTGCTATTGGAGTGTGAGCTCAAATGGTGTATCCCCCGTGCTTTGAATCGAATAGTTTGAATCAAGAGACCACTGACAAGGAAACACGAAATTATTATGGAGTAGCTGATTATTTGTTTTTCTTTTTTTTGTTAAATAAAATTTGGAACGTACCGAATCAGCGACTTGGCGTATTACGGTTGAGCCATTCAAATTTTAAGAGGATGTTTGATTGGAAGGGATGGAGGAAAAGGGGAGGAATTTTAGCCCCCTTCCCTTATTTGGTTTAAAAAATTGGGAGGACCCCTCCAAACTTATCCCTCCGAATTTGGGGAAATTGACAGGAGAGGAATAAAATTTATTAAACTCTGATTAATATGCTTTTTATGATAAATTTAAAAAATACAGACATACTTTTTTAATATATCAATACTAATAAAATGAATGTAAAATTATTTATATATAATTATTTTTTTTCTTCTCTTCTCTTAAATCAAATAAGATAATATCAAATCTCTCTCATTTGTTAAAATCTTCTCTCTCCTCTCAAACCAAGCACATCCTAAAAACATAAATACCAAACAAGTCTTTGCGGTAATGTCTGAGTTTTCTATTTTCTTTCTTTTTTTGTCCAGCTTCATCCCAAAAGTCACAGTCAAATAGAGTGGGAGGGGGAGGGTGAAGTGCCGTGATGGTAGAAAAATTTATTTATAAATCAGGTGTATGATGTCATTTATGTTTTGTTTAATAAAAAATTAATATACACTGTGCCAATTAAATCACATATTCTTTGACCTTGTTTATAAGTTAAAAATAAAATTTATTTTAATTTTATTTATAAAATATTTTAGTAGTTTTTATATTTATATTTACCTTTATATCCTTATTAAATACTAAAAAATATTAAAAATAATTTTTTTTTATTTATTAAGAAATAGAGGTGAACAAAAGTTAAATTTTAAGAGAAAATTAATGAGTTTAAGGTTTCTTTTTATTAAAACATACTGAAAAAATTTATAAATAGAAATCGAAAAAATAAAATCTTATTTATTATTATTGTTAATGATTTTATTTCTTATTTTTTATAATATTATCAATCATAAAATCAATTTATATTGAGATAGCATGTTTTTATTAACAGGACAGGGATGATATGCTACACAAAAATTTCAGAGTGATAGTATATGAATTTAAGAAGGAATGGTGTGATGAATTTAGAATGGCATTTTTTTTTTTAAATGAATGATGGGAACGGGGGTTGCGTAGGGGAGAAGGAAGGTCGGATGGTCACCGTACGGATGCAATGAAGGGTGAGCGTTAGTTGCGCACGTTCCTTTTTTGGTAGTCCAATTCACTGTTCATGACACGACACGACACTTGTCCTTTTCTCATACCCTGGCTAGAGCTATACAAAAGATAAGATGGCACTGAATTTCATCCTAATTTAAAGTCCGGTCTTTTCATAAAAAAAATTGGATTAAACAATTTGTAGTCTGATTTTATTCAGTGACAACTCAAAAATTAATAGAATCGGACTTGGTTTGTAGGATTGAGAGACTGATCCTATTAATTCAATACTCACTTAGCTTTTTTTCTTCCTTTTTTCTCTATAAGAAGCAATAATACATTTTAACCTAATAAACTTAATTAAGATAATAAAAATATTTATAATAATAATAATAATAATAATAAATCCATAATCACTTCCAATAATAAAAAAATATTTCTGTTGTAATTTAAATGATAAAAATTTATAACTTTAACAAAAATAGCACTCAACAAACATCAATAATACTACATTATAACAACAATTTAAAAATAAATTTAATAAATTTTCATACAATCATCTCCTTAGTATCAATTACACTTAAAATATTTGTCAAAAATAAATTAATTATAATTATAATAAATAAATTAATAGGATTGGATTGAATCAAATGGCCCGAATATCTAGTCTCTTATCCAATACAACTTAAAAAAATAATTTGATCTTTTTAATTTTCTTGATCTTGAAGGTTTAATATTTATACAGACTATCATCTCAAATTGAAGTGGATTAAACAAGACTAACAAATTTTTGCACAGCCCTACCCTATTCCTCCAATCGCAAGGACTTGGGACCCCCCTTAGCTTTCCCCTTTAATCTCGCTAGCTGCTACAATGATTCATGAGCCACACTTGTCCTCCGCCTTTTACTCATTCTCTTTGCTGCTCTCTGCTTCGTAATTCCAAAAGGAAATCTCTTATTTGTTAGAATATTTATTTATTAAATTTACATTGATTAATAAATTCAAATAAATTAATCTTTATGATTTTATATAGATTGTAATAGGTGAATCATATAAGTAAATTTAATAAATAAAGGCTCAACTCACAACCCTATAGTTACCAGTTAATTCTTATATCTTAACTGACTGAGTCAAAGATAATAAAATATAATTTATTTATTTATTAATTATAGTGGTTATTGATTTGATTCATATAAACCGATCAATTGATAACCACAAACATACAACAATTTTTATTTTTTTTTATTATCTTTGAACTTTCTGTAAAACTATAGGATCCAGTAGGTTATATGTCTGTCTATATTTAAAATAATTGAGTTTTTTAAACAATCATAAATTTTTTAAGTACGCACACATATTACTTTATTTAATTTTATTTGTTTACATAAATTGAAATATAAAATTAACATTGCTGTCATGCGTTGGTCCTTCTTAGGAATGACAACAAAAAAGGTTCCATTAATGCATTGAATACTAAAGTGAAAAATAAAGGCCTGTCACACAACCTTCACTACAGATTCACCAATAAAATCCCATTGACTTCGAAAACATAGTGCATCTCGCCCGTCCGAAATTGGAGATTTAAGGGCTCCCATGTCAAAAAATTGCCCTTTTAATTTCTTCAAGATAAAATATATTTTCAAAGAGAAGCTAATATAGATATGTCAATATTTGGATATTTAGAGGCTGCAATGAGATTAGAACTACTATTGCTTCCCTCCAAAAAGAGCCTTGTGAACAAAGATAAAGCATTGCCTTATATTTCTTCAAGGGCTGATAATTCAGACAGACTAGTCTTATTTAAGTCGGGCTCAATTTGAGTCGAATTTATTTTGATCAAGTTTAGAATATCTTATCTCTTCTAAGAAATCTATATAACCAAGCCCAACCCTAACATTTTTGAGTTTCAGGCTTATTTGGGTCTGCTTGAATACCAAAAAATTTTTAAAAATATTTTTTCTTTTTTTAATCAATTTTAATTTTTAAATAAGTTTATTACGTATAAAATATTATTTTATTTTTGAAATAATAAAATAAAAAAATAAAAACTTATCAACTTTAAGTAGCTATGCTATTATTTTATCGTATTGTGTATAATTTATTCATGAATATTTCATTTACTTATAAATTAATGTATTAGTTGTTTAAATATTACTCTTATCACAGTCATATATAAATATTTTATATATTTTAATTATGATCAATTTAATCTCGAATCAATCATAATCAGACCATTAACTTAAAATTATTACTCGATTATTTCAAAATTTTTAATAACTTTAAGGTAAATTGTATTTTTTATTTTTAAGAATACGAGAAAGATAGCCATCATTATATAATATAAAATAAAATTATTTAATTATGAGTAAAATACTCTTTTTTTAGAATTATTTTTTCTTTTAACTTTTTATATTGTTTAGCCTTTACATATAAGAAATTTTTATTCTAATTTATTCTTAATTTTTAACTAAATTTAGTGTGAATGATAACCAAATAATTATTTAAGAATATTATTCTATTTATTATATTTATCTAGTTGTAAAGTCAGGAAATCGTACATGCCCAAATTTTATTTTTAAAATTATTTTTAATTTCAGTAATACTTTATAATTAATTACTTATTTTTAAAAAATATAAATATATTTTTTTAGATAAGAAAATTATGTATAGGACTCAATGATTTTTTAAAAAAAAGTGGGTCTTAAAATATAAAAAATAATATTAAAATATATTTTAAATATTATTTTAAGATATTTTATCGATTAAAAATAATGAAATATCAATATTTTTAATTTTTTTTTAAAATTACTATGGTAATACACTCAAATATATAGTATTTTAGTATAAAATAACATAAAATTTAAAGAATTAATTAATATTTATTATATTATATATATTTTTTAAAATTTTATTTTTTTATTCGGATATTCAAGCCAAGCTTGGCCCAAATTATCTTGAGCATATTCAGGTGGCTCAAACATTAAAAAAATTTTTAGGCCAGTTCGGGCTGACCTGTTAGGATTAGCTCAAACTACCGGCTCTTTTCTTCCAACTCATAAAGCCATCTCCCATCATCATCACACAAAGTATTTAAAGTTATGATCACCAAGCAAATACCAGTCACGCTTAGCTTTTTCAGCCCACATCACACTTTCTTGACATGCGACCTGTGGAAGACTCATCAGGAATGACGGAGAGTGGTTAGTAGGCTTTCAAAGGAAATTGAGTTCCATCAATCCACAGTTGCGGAACTTTTGGCTATCAAAACAGGACTAGAAATTTGCAAGATGAGGGGTCTCAAAAATATCAAGCTGTACACAGATTCACTAGAGGCATCATACTTGTTTCTTACTGACAATGGGACTAATCATCCTCTTCAGGTGGAAATTAATGACATCAAGACCTTGATATATTTAGATTGGGACCTCGGTATATCCCATGCTTATCGTGAAGTTTTAGTTTGTGCTGATTTATTAGCAAGGAGAGCTAACCAATTGGATGACGAGATGAGTATTCTGCAATCATCCCCAAATTACTGCTGGGCCTATCTTTTAAATAATATTGGATAGGTGTGTTTAATTTTTATTGTTTCCTTTTGTTCTCAGTTTTTGGATTATTAGTTTTCAGTTTAGCTCACACCTCTGTGCTATTCCTTTTTCAGGTGTAACTTACCTTTTTATATAATAAAAAAATTAAACTTCCTCTAATCCAACCCATAAAGTAGCTTGAAGGTCCTCTAAAGATTTTTGGTTACGACACTCACGTAACACCTTGGAAAGGCCTTTAAGGATATGTTTGGTTGGAGGAGAGAGGAGGGAAGGGAGCCCTCCCCTTCCCTCCCCTCCCCTGGTTAGGAGGAGGGGAGGGGAAATTTTTAAAATTTTTCCTTCCCTCCCCTTCCCTCCAAAACCTCCCCTCAAAATTGGAAGGGAGCTTTCCTTCCCCTCCTCCCCCTCCCCCTCCCTTGCCTCCTCTCCCCTCACCTTCTCTTTCCTCCCTTCCCCTTCCCTTGAACCAAACATATCCTAAGTCTATTCAGCAAGTGTCGTTTCTTTTTCCCAAGATGCCCAAAAACCTTCTCTTTCTAAATATTCACTCCTTCAGCAAAGTGAATAATGTTCTTATGCCAGTCATTGTTTGCTTTACAAGTCTCATTCATAAAATGTTCAAAATCATAATGCAAAGTCCAGGAAGCAACAAACTGAAAAGGTTTCTCTGTATATCTTCGGGCTTCCTCTTCCTACCACATCTTCAACAAGATAGGCCAGTGATCAGATTTGAAAAAGGGAAGATGTAGAACCATGACATCTTGGAACTTATCAACATATATTGGTTATTAAAAAGGACATGATCAGTACGACTCTCACAATTGCCCCTCCTCCATATGTAAAATGGACCATGATAACCAATATCTGAAAGACCCCATCTATCTAGTTACTAAATTCTCTATCAATCGAACTGTGTGAGTATAGTAAAGAGTGCCTTTCATGGTGTAATAGAGTAGCATTGAAGTCACCTCAATATACCAAGGCCCATCAATGGATGATCTCAAGGCTTTTAGCTCTTACCACAACAATTTGCGAGATACCAAATGCAAGCTAGCCCCATAGATTTAACTAAAATGTGAGCTTTTATGCCACTCACCTGCGTTTCTAGTAAAGCCACAACTTCCAATTTGTGCTTCTTAGTAAGCTCATAAATATGCCTACGAAAGCTTCGTGAGCATGTGCCTCTAGAATTCTAAAACAAAATATTGATAGACTGATTAGGAAAGAATTGGGCTCGAGTGCCCCTATTAACCTCACTAAGTCTGTTTTAAACAAATTAGAAGTGTGATTGTGAGATCAGGTACCCTTGACATTCAAAATATTGAATTCATGGTTGCAAAGCATGGTCGTACGGTGCACTTGTTTGTCTCATCTTTATCCTATGATGCGCATATACTAATACGTGTGTCGGATATGATATATCAATATGTATTTGATATGCTGATACATTTATTTTTAAAAATATATGATATGATATGTTTTTGATATATATAAATATATTTATAAAAAATTATTCAAACTAGCATATGTATATAATCCTTTATGATAGGATTAAGTTACAATTTTATCCCTAAACTTTTTTTTAAAAAGCAATTTTATCCCTATACTTATAAATAAGTGAAGCAATTTTACTATGAATTATTTCTCCGAAGAGTGCTAGGCACCTTGTAAAAGGTTTTTTTTTTTGCTCTTTAAAAAAATAAGTCAGGGGTAAAAATTAACCCACTTATGAGTACAGGGATAAAAAGTTTGGGATAAAAATGCACTTTAACCTTTTATAATAATACTCAACAAAACATAATTATTAATTGCACTTTTATTCCATCTCTATCTTATTGCCTACCATCTAGTCTCTATTAATAATTCCCTACTTAGGATTTATATTCCTACCTTTTTATAATTGAAAAAAATATAATTTTTATCCTTTTATTATATCTAAAACTTATTTTTTCAAGAAAAATTTAATCTTTGACATTAAAATCAATTCACAGAAATATATTAGGAACAAAAAAGATTATTATTACGATATTTAATAAAATTTAATTTTTAAAAATGACCTTGACATATCGGTTTTAAAGTATCAAATTGCAATCTATAAATATCGGATACATATTAAAAATTAAAATTTTTAAAACTAAAAAAATAATATTTTTATATTTTATGAATATGTATCAAAAAAATATCAATAAATATTAATATCAGATATGATATTGATACAAGATAATTTAAAATATTAGTACTTTATACGTGGTATGATATCATGATAGCTTTTTTAAAAGTAAAAACAAGTGTCACGTAACAAAAATGGCAAGAATGTTAAACCCTCTGGCAGAAGCGGAGAAGGGGCTCACGTACGGCTGAAGAGAGGGCCAGGGGTTCAGGAAAGGCCCATCTCAAGTCATTTTTACCATAAAGTTATGGCTTTGGGTGATAAAAAAATTGAATATCTTTCAAGTTAGTTTCGTGTTTTTTTTTATTTTAAAAAAGATGTTGGGATCTTTGAAACGTCGCTTTTCTCACGGAAAATATATGCTTATTGAGAAACTGTAATTTCCAAAATACATGAACTCAAAGAGCTAGCTATTAATTTCCCAAAAATTAGAAAGTTGTTCTATTGAAAAAATGCTTGTCATTTATATAAAAAAATAAGTTCGATGATCGTCCCATAAAGACCCGTGCAACAAACGACCAGAGTGTTTTAGATAACCGTTCCATCTTTAATTATGGCATTCTTGGGTATGATCGTGATGCCTGACCTAATGTAGAATCCTTCCTGGGCCCTGTCTGCTTCTTCAATGCCCTGCTTAACAAAGTTCAAACATTGACGAGATAATTGGAGGAAGCAAGACTCTGATTATTTATTTTGCAAGCATTTTAAGCTGCACTTACCTCACGATTGGCAATAATCACATTTCTTCCTATGCTGACATTCTTGTCGATTATACAATTCCTTAAAATTTGCAATAAACCCATAAGTAATGTTCATCTAAAATTCATATATTATAGTCAACTGAAAGACAAGAATGCACCTGATTTTTGTATTCTGTCCAACTCCAATTGGGACTTTTCCTTCTGATAGAAGAGATGCGATTTCAAAATCAGTTTGATAGTAGTCTGCACCGATCATTACAGTATCCTGAATAGTACATATAGCCCATGAACAAATTCATCACCGAGTTCTGATGACATTGTACGTAAGTGACTAAACTTGTCTCAATATTATCACATAAAGTAATTTTCTTAATTACCTCAAGCTCTGCGCCAGAATCTAAACGCGAGCGCAATCCAACAACAGAGTGGTGAATGCAGCACTCCCTCAAGAAGCAACCATGAGAAATAATTGCCTCCGTGACCTGTCACATAATAGAGGGAATATTATATAAGGAAGTCCCACATCCAACAGGTAAAAAAAATATATTAGAAATATATAGAGTTTGGAATGTAACCAATTGTATGAGCTTTATATTTTGATGAAACAGACAATTCTCAAGTGTATATAAACTTCATATGGTATTAGAGCAATTCAAATTGGGACATAAAAAATGAAAGAAAAACGAGGACAAGAATTAAAAAAAAGGGGTAAAAAAAAAGGAAGAGAGAAAAGATAGATAAAAAATGTAGATTATAGATACGAGGTTTCCAGTTCCAAAAAAAGTACAAGTTCATGTAAAAATAAAGTTTATTGAAAATTTAAATTGTTTTAATTAAGTGGCTTAAACTATTTTCGTAAATTGTGGATAATTATCATGCATGCTTATAAAAAGTTTGACATCATTACCAATAAACCAATCGTCTCCAACCATTATAACACTGACAAGCATGTCCTCAATTCTAAACTTGGTGTCATACCTTGCAATTTTCGACTTTACTTGGTGGCAAAAATCTTGGAGAAGTGAAAAAAGGAGTCTTCGGATCATATAATTTAAATTTCGAAGGCTGCAAGTCATATTGTATAACAAGTAAGTACACTAGACTTCTACGGTAACCACTATGAAATGCTCGAGTTTTGCATGAATATATCATCACTACGTACCACCGTCACTAAATTAGAATTAACCTTTTTAAAAATAAACTAAAGGATAATTATACCAACCTGTTCTGTTAAGGCTAGATTAGCATCAAAGAATGACTTTATAGTTCCAATATCTTCCCAGTAGTCATTGAATAGATATACCTAGGAATGTCGAATGAAAGCGAAAGTTATAACTTATCATTTACGCTTGGCCAAAAAGAATCCGTTTGTAAAAGATTAACGGATAGCAACACAAAGTGACGCGCGTGTGCAGGTCACTCTCACTTGGACATTGTGTTCCTCGAGAGCAGATGGAATAATTTCAGATGCAAAGTCATTGCATGCAGGATAACTCCATCTCAATAGTTTCAGCAAGGTCTCGGTTCTGAACACATAAACACCCATTGATGCAATGAAAGGATATTTTTGTGCTTCCTCGGGAGATAACCCCATAAGAGTAGTGTCAACTTCCTGTAATTATTAATAAATACATCAGCCAATCCACATTTAGATTTAACTCCCTTCCATTATAATTTCAATGGTAAGAAGATGGTTCAGGATATTTGTTTTTTTACCATTGAATTCAGATCTGATCCCTTGGGTTTTTCTTTAAATTGTATAATCCTTCCTTTCTTATCAATTTTCATCAGCCCATAATCTGATGCGCGACTGCAAGGCAAAATAAGAATACGACTATCTAACAATCTTTATCCTCTCTCTCGAGAAGATAAAACCAAGTCAAACCAAAACTTCATGCTACTAAAAATAATACAAAGTAGACATGTACCTCTTGTCCATGGGGACGCATGAAATTGTGATATCAGCATTTGCATCTAAATGTTTCTGCACTCACAAAAAACTATGAATTTCTGTAAACAAGAAAGATCACTAGAGGTTTTAGCACTTGTAAGAAGTAAAATTTCTTCACTAACACCTGCACAAAGTTCATATAGTCCATCTGATAAAGATGATCACCAGAAAGTATCACTATATTGTCAATATTGTTGTGCTTGGCTTCCTGCAGGATATAATTTAGACACAGAAACTACCCATTTAGTCCCATGTTCAGTGTTCAGCACATATGGAGAATTATAGCTTGAAAGAACTTACTTCAAAGATCCAAATAAATTGCCTCACAGCGTCGGCTGTTCCTTGGAACCATCTCTTGCCTGATTCTCCCGGTGTTTGAGTAGCAGCCAAGACCTGTTCACAGATATAGATCATGCTTTAAATCTACGTCGTCGTCGTCGTCGTCATCAATTGTTTATTAAGAAGCTAGAGCCTGCATTATCCTACGTCGACAAATCCATGTCCAACATTCACTCCATTTCTCAAATTATATGTATTAGATATGTGGCGATTGAGAGAGAAAGAATTGAACTGCGTCAAAACGAATATCTTTCCGATGCCACTGTTGATGCAATTGCTCATGGGGATATCTATGAGCCTGTAGCACCCTCCAATTGGAACCTACAAACGATGCCAGATAATATTATTAAAAAAAAACTGCAAAACTTATTCTCATTTCAAATTTTTGCATTAAAAGAATGCAACTATTTGAACGATATATAGAGCATTTCATTTATTTTGAGACCTAATACATATTTAAAAAAAAAAATTAAGCGTAGTTTTGTGAGTTTACATGAATGTTCATCAAATTAATTAGTTGATATCCTTTAAGAAAGAATGGCGTGTCATGGCCTCAAATTAAAAATTTACACTGTAATCAAAATTTTTAACAATAGATATAGAACTCGGAAAGATTGGAAAGCAGAAGATCACACCGCAGGCTTGGCTCTCGTGCTAGTGAGAGGAAAGAGACGAGTACCAGCACCCCCTCCCAGAATGATGGAGGCTACCTTATTTGGGTCAGCTCTCCGAGTCTTGCTAAAAGGAGCCGAATCTAATGTCTGAAACGAAATCCATTAGTGGCTATAAACTGATTAACGTGCGTAGCAGAAGGAGACATGAAAATACATAAGTCGATTATATTGTATATACCCACCGTAGAGTCATTACTGTTGATGTGTGGCGTGTAAACAGAGCATGCAACGGCTGGCTTGAAATTCCTTACTCTAATATGAGCTTTACAGGACGGAGTCGAACCAAGGGTGTCAAAAAATTTTGGATGGAAACTTTGTCTTGTTCTCTCGCCCCAGGACTCGTCGCTGTATCGATTTTTTGTATCTTTCTTGCGACCTATAGCTGCACCCGCAATGGTTTTCTGGGATGCAAGAATGCGAGCCATAACCATGTCAAAAAAAAAAAAAAAAAAGACTGCACTGGTGCAGCTACAATTGTGGAGGAAGCCAGTGAAATCCCTGAGGAATTATTCAACCACGGGAGGCAAGTTGAGATTTATAACAAGATCGCTGCACATGCCACACAACAATCTCAGATTGCGCCACGTCATATGCAAGTAAGTCTAGACTCTATCATGACCGTCCAGTATCATTAATCCTAACTGTTCATTTCTATGCCCATAAAACCTTACCTCAGGCCACGTTTCCTTCGGCCAAATTAGTTGGTTATGTCAATTCGATATTTATTATTCCTCTATCATTTTCTCAGCAAAAAGACTGGTCAGAAGAGAGAAATTTGAGGAAGAAAGCAATTTTCGAGTTTATCGGTTACTTGATTGCGTGTTTATTCTTGTGCCTGTGTTCAAAACAAACTAATTAGTAATTAAAACTACGGAAGAAGAATAGCGGATGAAGGAGACAAAGAGGGTCGACGGTGTAGTGCAACGGTAAAGATAGAATTAGTTTGGATGGCCGGAATTAATTCAGGAGTGTTCATGGAACGGGACGGGACTGAAACACTCCCATCTCGTGTCCCATCCTAAAAAAATGATTAGGACTGAATTTTGATCCCGTGTCTCATTTCGTCCTGAAAGTCATCTGTCTCGTTAGAAGTCGAGACGAAATCGGGACGTCTTGCTGTCCTAATAAATTGAATAATATCAAAGAAAGATCTGAATAATAATGTTATTAAGCTTTTAAATCATATAATTTATTAAATTTAAAATCAAAACAACACAAGTACATAAATTACAATAATTTAAAGTCAATTATTGAATTATATTAATCACAACTACACATTATAATAGCAAATATAAGTGATCTTTAAGTTATAAGAGTAGCAATAATAGGCAAGTTAAGCATAATATCAAATCATTGTTGTTCTACTTTAGTAAAAATATACTAAGCTAATTACTCTTCTAAAAATAAAGCAAGAAATACATTATAAATAAAAGTTATTAAATAAATAGATATAAGAATAAATTATATTAATATAATTAATATATTATAAAGAAAGATATTGTCATGTTTACTCAAGGTCATTAAAATTATCAATATAAAAAAAATTTAGTTTTAAATAAGAATTGCAATTATTGAAATTATAATTGATATAATTAATATAAGTATAGATTATATTAATATAATTAATATCCTTAAAATAAAAAATAATATATACATAATATTCAAGACGGGACCGGACGGGACGTCCTGATGGTCATCCCGTGTCTTGTCCCGTTCCGAACTTTTTTTTCTCTTATTTCATAAAGTCTTGTCTTGATTATTTTTAGGTCGGGACAAAACTCATCTTGATATGATCGGGATGATATTAAATTGATTGAAATGGGTTTAAGCTGAACACTCCTAAATCAATCCATGATGGAGGCAAGAAATTATTAAAGGTAAAAATAATTAACGCCCGCGAAAATGCCGATGTGGTGGCCTACTTCCTTCTTAAACGGGCCCAGCGCTTCTAATAGAGCTCACACACCGTGTCCCGGCCTCTTAGTCGAAACCCAGACAGAGGCTAATGATAAAAATTCAACCAACAAGCATGTGGCTTGTGGCTGGTTTTTGATTCACGGCTTGTGCGTGCCCAATGTCCCTACCATGTATGTGAAAAGTGGAGGATCATCAAGGAATTCACGTTCCTCCTACTTAATCTGATGGCCATCTTCTTTTGCTTTCCCCTCCGCTTCATTAAATATTGCTTGTTGCCCTTTTTGAAATAATCCTGTCTACTTTGTTCTTCTGGGGTCTATTAGTCTATTGCCAGATATTACCAGCTCTCTTCTGCTATAAGTAGTTGGTGCGGGGCGACATTAAGTTCTTTGTGATTAATCAATCAAGTAGATATCAGCATGCACATCTGCATGTCATCAACGTACGCCTATCATATGTTGTGCTTCGGTTTTTTCATTTACTCCTTTTATCTCCAATTATGAAATATTTTTTTAAAAAAATTCAACATTTTAAAACATAAAACACTTTAATAAAAATAAAATTTTATTAATAATATTTTTCTAATATTACCCTTCACATTATATTTCTCTTTAATATTTTTTTATAAATAGAGTATTTATTTAATAAATTATATTGATATGTATAATTTCATTTAAAATTATAAAATGGAGGAAGTATTATTAAAAAAAAAGGACCCGCCCATATTATATGTCCACCAGCAATGCGAGTGTTCGTCCCAAAAGGTGAGTGCTCCATGCATGAATTCTTTAATTCTTCTCTCTCCAAGCAAACGGCTTAAACCCACCATCGGACCATCCCATCACATCTGAGGATGAAAATATTGAATTCATTTTATATTATGATCACAAAATTTTATGATGCCAAAATAAGAATCAAATTAAAATTCTTTACAAACCTGGCTATTATTTGCCCATGGTGCCCTCAACGCCACAAACATTCTCCCCCTGCCAAAACACGCACACACTCTTATTTTGAATTTTCTCTATGCGCCCCCTGATATTTTTTATCATGGGTCGCGCTATTAATCGTTTTCCTCAACGCATCTGTTAATCCTTTTCTTTCCTTTCATTGATCATTCTCATGGCTGTTTAATTTTCTATTAACCCATATTTGTTTATATCAGCTTATTGAATCTAAATTCTAGTTAGTTAGGGTTAAGGGACAAAAATATCCTACAAGAAGTTTTTAAAAAGCGCTTAATACTTTTACCTTTTAAAAAAAGCAATGTTATTTTAAAAATATGAAAAGGAAGCAATGTAGCTCTGGAAGTATGAAAAATGGAACAATTTCATCCTGCCGTTAATGAGGCTGTTTGTTTGACGGTTACTTTCACTTCTTTTGCTAGGTGGTTGACAAATGGCATTTGAAAAAAAAAAAAAAAACAAATCAAGGGTTTCTGTAATGGTGTTTTCTATTGTCAATGTTCAAGTTCTTTTGCTTTCTATGTTTGAAGAATGAGTCCAAAATGAATGAAGCCCCTATCTTGACCTTTTACACTACTCACTCACGAATCTTTCAGGCCTTCTCTCTTTTCTTCTTTTCTCCAACACCTTCATTCGTTGCGTCCCCAAAATTTCTAACCGTCTTCACAACATTCACTCCCACGTTTGGTTGCCCAGGAATTACATAAAAAAATTAAATTGATCAAAAACCTATGGAAATTCAACCCACAGGACCAACAGCATTGACCAAGACTTATTTTCATTTAACAAAGAAACAAAGGGGAAAAATAGCTCAAACCCAAAAAGGATTGCTTTTGTGTTGGCTTTTTGAAGAACCAAACATAAATTTCTGGGAATAAAAGGAGAAAAAAGATGGAGGACAGCAGAAGAGAAGGGGGACAGGTGCTGTTATCGCGAGACTCTTAACCATCAATGGACAAAGCTCTGGCAATGAATGAAGTTGAACGCAGCATAAAGGCATCAAGCTAGTAGACCATATTTGGAACACCGTCAAGCAAGTGGACCCAGATTTGGAACATTTCAAGCATTACGATGGAACAAGAAACCTCACATCTGTCTGTACGTCTATCGAGCAGAGGCCCCTACAAAAATGGTAGAAAGAGAAAGAAGAGCAGGCAAGAAGCCGGGCCTCTAGATCTGGCTCAAGTCTTTTGAAAGCGGCATCACACTCTCACATATGAAGGAGACCTTGAGATCACTATCGCAAAACCTTGAAATCAGAATGGCATAGGAAGAGTGGGTGGAGGAGGAGGACGGATGTGAGTGCTCCTTCAGACCAAATAGTTGTCGAAAAGGGATGAAGAAGTCGAGTGAGAGAGGAGGTGGGGCACGTGGAGGAAAGAGGGAAAGATGAAAGTTACACGTCAAATTTTTTGGTCAAAAAGTAATATTTAACGGACAAAGGTTAGTATAGATTAACCATAAGGCAAAATTACTCCCCTTTTCATACTTCTAAGCAACATTGTTCCTTTTTCATATTTTAAAGGTAACATTGTTTCTTCTAAAAAAAATAATATTGCATGCTCTTTTAAAAAAACTTTAGAGATATATTTATTCTTTAATCCTTCTAATCAAATATATCTTGATTAGTAAATCCTATTCCTATTTGAAAATTGAAATTGTGGGGAGATTGGAGAAATTGGACCTCTCATAAAATTTGACTGTTCATGTTTAATATTATTTATTTTTTATTAAGATTAAAAAGTATTTTTATTTCTCAACTATTTACTCAGGTGCATTTGGCATCACAAACTTTTATATGGTATAATTTTCTTCTTAAACTTTTGAAAATAGCACAGTGGGTACTTTGATGTTAAAAAAGTTAATTTTAACTATTACCTGATTTAAAAAATTTCAAATAAATCCTAAAAATTATAAAAAAAGACCTAAAAAAGATTTAATTAATATTAATTTTTTATAGGATATTTATTTATAATTTTATGAGTTTTTTTATAATTTTTGCAGTACTTTTCTAGAATTTTTTTAATCGTAAGGTACTAAATATATCATTTTAAAATTTGAAGGGAGAAATTACACCAAATGAAAGTTTATTATTTGCTCTGTTAAAAAATATGAAGCATTTTTTAAAAAGTTAGATGTTAAAAATGTAAGGTATTTTTAGTGGTGTAATTATTATTTTTTTCAAAAGTGTCCGTATTGATAATGACTTTATATTTATTGTAGAGTGTTTAATAAGAGTGAATATGAAAAGATAGGGTTAATTTAAAAGTGGGTAACTACTTTATTGAAAGATGAGATTTGATTAAAAATGTCTTACATTTTTAACAAAAGAGAATATATTAGATGCTTTTAAACCAATAGTTGATAGATGAAAATACTCTTTAACTTTTTTTTATTGTATAAAAAGTTAATAGTAGTTTTACAAAACACTAAATTTGAAATGTCTAAATTTCATCCAAAAATTAAGATGATAGGCGAAGAGAATCCATTTACGATATTTGAGTGATATAAAAGGCGGTAAAGCCAAAGAGAAAAAAGGAATTTCTTGC